ATGCAAAAAGAAATGTATTGTACGGTAGGTGGCTTGAGACCAATGATTGCAGCAATATGAATAAAAATTAAATGTACTATAAAAACAATCATTTTACTTTTTTAATATTAATTATTTAATTAGTTTACATAATAAGTATTAACTACAATTTATTTTTAACACAGTAAAAGTGTAACGTGAATATGCATAGTTATATTATTCAATAGTAGTATTCGACCAGTAATATTTTGAGCTTCGATGGTAATGCATTTGCAATGATGTGTTATTATTTTTTAATTTGTGTCTAACCCACTATAGATTCTAAGCCGCTGAACCGATTTCTTCATGTAGCAACTCTATAGATCAGGAATCGTACCTTAGAGATACTTTATTAGGCCAACATTTTAAAAAGGCATCCCTCTCCATTTAAATCGAAAAAAAACATAAAAAAATGTACATATTTTTCACCTTGAAATTCGATGCTCTATAACTTTTGAAAAAAATATTCGAATTAGTTCCCATTATATATGAAATTTTTTTTTTTTTTGTTCTATCGACAAACGTTGACAAACCAAAAGAAATATCACAAACCCTTTCCCCTATAAGGGATAAACATTTTTTCTTTATTACACTTCTTAGGGAAGTTTTAGGGAGTTAGATCTGATAGTTAAATCGAACGGAGAACTAGAATGAAACCATAACGCATACAAATTTTCTCAAAAGTCTGGAGTCAAACTTTTTTTTTTAATAAGGAAAACCCCTAAAACTAAGAGAAATTGAACTTTGAAAATTTCTAGGTTGCCATACATTTGAGTGAATTAACAGTCAACAGGTGATAAAAATATTTCCGTTACATTGTTAATTATTATGATATATGGATAACAATGTCAACATATTTTTATAGACAGAAGGTCACCATATTGTATCCGCACTAGTGTTGTTTAACATACAAATTGGCAGATACATAGATAAGTGTGTTGAAAATTGTTGTATGGAGTTGTTTTAAAAATGTTAGTATAGATTTTAGATCAATTTGGACGTCAACAGGTTGACAAACCGAACGTTGCGTTTATGAGAGGCTTATACAATTTGGAAATAGAATGATTACAAATTAAAAATTACATATAAAACGAATAAAAAATAGTTCATTGTGACACTGTTTTTCTGAACACATTTTATTTAATATTTATTATTATTATTTATTATAAAAATACAACAACGCTCAAATGTCACCAAATGAATAATTGCTAAAAAATTAATTTGTATTATTAACTTACAATTTTTGTTTACAATCCAAACACATTTTGTACACAGAGTCAATTTAATGAAGTACACATTCCATGAAGAATACATGACGTGTATTTCAGAGGAGGGATATGCACCGATCCTCCAATTTAACTTGTCCCACGTATACAGTTTTCCATCAATTAAATCCATCGTAGAAGTGCCTTCTATATTTGCGTTATACGAATACAATTATTACTATAAAATACCCGTTTAATTAGTTTTCTAGAAACGTGTAGCATAACTCGAAATAAAACAATAAACTATAGTCCGACCATAATGACTCGACCACTTTTGCAAGTATATTTATTGTTTTCTCATTACGCTTTCCTGATGTGCTCGGCCGGTAACCCTGGATCATATTCAGACGGAGACAACGTGTCAAAATTAAACGATATATTGAAGGCAAGTGGGTGGAAGCAACTGGTAACAAAAGCCCTAGATCGACAATTAAAATCAATCAAAGGCGGACTATTGGACGTGTCAGATGTATTGGATAAAGGGGCGGACGGCAATATTGTTACCCCGGTTAACTACACCGACAAATTGCTAAAATCATCGACCACAGTAAGCTGCATTTACAGTGAAAGCCTTAAATTCATAAACGATATGTTTATTAAAATAATCGCGGGCAAGTGCATGAGTCTGGGTTCGAGCACATCAATGTTGGATTGCATGGAACGGTTTTGGAAGACAATGGTCATAAGTAAGTCACTGATCGAAAAAATGCTAAAAGTCCTGAATTTTTTCCACAATGCTTCCAAAAACATGGGCACAACAACAGTCATTGACACCATGGAATCCTTACTACCGCACTACGACCGTCAGAAATACATAAAATCAAACTATTTGGACGTTAACGGTACAGTTAAGATGGATGATTTTAAGAGGGATTGCGAATATCTCCTAGACAAGATGAATTGCGCAAACAACATACTGTGGAACTTTCTCGTGGCCCGTTGTTTGCCGGCTTGCAAGTACGAAAAAGAAAAATCCCCAAACATTATAGTTATCGAAGAAGCAATGGGCAATCTTACGTCACCTCAGGGTATCCATGCAGTAATTGACTGTTATGTTGACAATTTAATTCAATGTGAGGAATCGATTTTGACTAAAGTAGGTTTCGATAAGGAACAGTAACCCTTAACGTTGTTATGTATATTTTTACTGTCATTAATTAAAAGCTCCTGTTTTACATTATTTTTTTTTTTTTGTGGTTGTATAAAAAGATTTATACATTTTTATTCTTTTTGACACATGTTTGATTTTCGTAATATAACTAAGTATCTGGAATTTCTAAAAAAATTTTTAGTAAGTAAGTTTCCTTCATTTTGTGTTATTTGATAAGGAAGTTGTTTTATCGACTTCTTTGTTGCTAGTACTCTTAAAGTATGTAAAATTTCTAAATGTTTAGCTTCGATGCGAAGCTGAGTTTGAATTGGTTTTACCGTGAAGTGGGCTTTTTGCGACTTTATATTTATTGTAACTTTTTTAATACTTATACAATTCCTTTGAGTAGCAACTCTTTAAATCACAGTTGGTACTTTGAGGGATTGTTCAAATTGAAAAAGTCTACAAAGTTCTTCCCAGTTGAAATTTCAAAAAATAGAAATAAAAACAAGACGAGTTTAATAGTTTCAATTTTTACTGGCTATAATTTTGAGAAAAAGAGTCGGATCAAGTTGAAAGTTATAAGGAATATTTATTTGGTATGCCCCTCAAACTTCAGAAGTCTCAAATTTAAATTATACCCATTTCCTATCCCCCTAAGAGGGATGAAAATTTTTGTATTTTTTTACGGTAATTTTAGAACCTTTAAGTTGAAAATTTGTTAGTGTCAATAATTAAAACTCATTAAAAAAATGCTATTAGTTCTGAATTTTTTCCACAAAGCTGCCAAAGGCGTTGGCACGACAATTGTCATTGACACTTTGGAAAGCCTATTACCACACTACGACCGTCAAAAATACACCAAATCAAATTTCGTGGACGAAAATGGTACGGTCAAGATGCATAATTTTAAGAAGGATTACGAATATCTCCTAGACAAAGTGAATTGCGCAAACAAATTACTGTGGGACTTTCTCGTGGCCCGTTGTTTGCCGACTTGCATGAGCGGAAACCAAAAATCAGACAACATCCTAAAAATTGAAGCAGAAATAAGCAATCTTACGTTACATCAAGGTATCGATAAAGTATTTGACTTTTTTGTTAACAATTTACTTGTGTACGACAATTCTTTCTTGATTAAACTAGGATTCAATAAAGAACGATTAATAGTTTAAGATCATTATGAACATTTTCAATGTAGTCTATTATAAGCTACTGTTTTAGATTCTTCGTTTTTGTTGTTATAAGAAACGATTCCTAAATTTTTTTTCTGCTTGACACATGTTTGTTTTTGTACACTACAAATAAGTATCTGAAAAGACTACAATTTTTTTTAGTAAATATATTTTTCTTATTCGTGTGCTATTTGATACGGTCGTTGCTTAAATTGTTTTATGTTAGCAACCATTTGATGGTATAACGTTTATTTTTGAGTAGTTGAAAATAACTGTACTACTGTTGTTGTTCCGATCTACTGCCAGATATTTCGCAAGCAAAGCAACTCACTCCTTCCCTGCCTTTGACGCCTTTCCATCATACTGATGTACTCACAGACTGTAAGCGTTTATGCCTTGAACCACATATGAAATGTATTTTCATAGCTTTTTTTTTTCGTTTTTTTTCTGCCTTACAGAAAAAACATTAAATCATGGATATGTTAGCTCATATAATTTTCTCTTATCACTAATCTCTAATCTCTTATCTTTTATAAATAATCTTAAAGTGCAAGTGTAACGCCAAAATGGTGACATGACAAATGCATAAATATATTAATTCAGCAGTAATTATCGACCAGTAATATTTTTAGCTTCTATGCAGAGCTGAGTAGGTAATCAACAAATTTAACCATGGATTTGTTATAGTAATACGATCCGTATAACCATCATGTTTTTTTTTTATGAGGTACAATTATATGTATACCGAAAATTCAAGTACAACGTTTTTTGGACACAAAAAAATGTAAATAGGTACGACATCTAGATCGGACCACACGCACAAATTTTACTCTTTGTAAACTCGTCTACAAGAGCATTGACCGATTACTTGGACTAGGAACTTGGCCGCTCTCCTAAACTCTAGCAGGTTGGCCTGAGCATCCCCTTGGATCAGACTCTTATGAGCCATTGCTTTGTCCGTTGTGTCCTTGACGATCACCTTACTTTAGTTCATCTTTTGATTTTGGTCCACCTTGGCTGGCTCCATAAACTAGCAGAGTTCGCTCATTATCTTGCGATAAGTGTTGGCCCTCATGGTCTTTGACTTCTTATTAACTACTATTAAGTCCATCGGAGAAGATGAGGAGTTCCGTTCATCAGTCTCCTCGCTTCCTCTTGGCGGTAACATAGCTTCTTTCGACAGACATTACACCGGCAGCCATATCACGTTACATTTAATAATTATTATTGTTCTTTATTATGGAAATACGACAAAGTTTAAATGTTACCAATCGAAATAATTGCTAACAAAATTGAAATTATTTTTTTATTATTAATTTAAAAATCGTATTTACAATCCATACATATTTTGCACATTAGGTAACCTTGATGAAGCTATACACATGAAGTGAATGGCGGAGGAGGGAAGATATGCGCCAAATAAAATTGTAACACGTATACGGAGTTTCATCGACTTAATCTAGGTTAGAAGTTAGAACTGCCATTTATATTTGCTTTACACAAAAACAAGTATCACTGTTTTCGTAGGCGGCCTAACGGTGAACATAGAGTTAAATAAAGTGATACTTACTGCTTTAAGCAACATTACACCTATCTAACAGTATAGTATACCTTTTTAGTTGGCTTTTGAAAACGTCTTGCACAACGCGAATTATAACTATAAACTATAGTCCGATCAATATGATTCAACCGCTTTTTTTCGTGTATTCGTTGTTTTCCGTTTGCATTTTTCTGATGTGCTCGGCAGGTAAACCTGTATCATGGTCACACTCAGACCACGTTTCAACATTAAACAATTTATTGAAGGCGGAGGGATGGAGGGTACTGGTAACGAATACCCAAGATCAAGAACTAAAATCAACCAACGGCGAATTAATGGACATGTCAGATCTATTGAAAGAAGAAACGGACGGCAATATTGTTTCCCTGGCAAACTACACCGACAAGTTACTAAAATCTTCGACTGCTGTAAACTGCTTTTACGGCGAAAATCTAAAGTTCATGAACGATATATTTACTGAAGTAATCGGAGAGTATTGCATTAGCATGGATTCGGACTCACTTAAGTTGGATTGCATGGAACGGTTTTGGGAAACCATGGACATACATAAGTCATGGATCGAAAAAATGCTAGAAGTTCTGAAATTTTTCCACGATGCTTCCAAAAGCATAGGCACAACAACACCCATTAACGCTTTGGAATTCTTACTACCGCACTACAACCGTGAGAAATACATCAAATCAAATTACTTGGACAATAATGATACAGTCAAGATAGATGATTTTAGAAGGGACTACTACATTTTCCTAGACCATATACGATGCGCAAACAGAATATTGCTGGAATTTCTCACGGCCCGTTGTTTGCCGGCTTTCAACGCCGAAAGAGAAAAATCCGAAGACGCCATAGATTTAGAAAGAATGGCCGATCATGCGTCAAACCAGGATATCGATAGTGTATTTATCTTTTATATTGAAAATTTACTTGTGTACGAGAAATCTTTCTCGACTAAACTAGGGTTCGATAAGGAACAATTAATAGTTTGATGTAGTTATGTACATTTTCAATGTAATTTATTAAGAGCTACTGTTTTAGACTATACGTTTTTATTGTACATGAACGCAAAAAAATTACATAATAATTATAACAGAAAAAACTTAGTTATTTTATCTGCTCTACGACGAAAACATTTAATAATGGATATCTTATCTCTTATCACTAACCTCTAATCTCTTATTTTTTATAAATAATCTTTTATCTCCTGTCTCTAACTGAGAGTTAAAGTGTAACGCAAAAATGGTGACATGACAAATGCAACATGAAATTTCTTGTATGTTAAATGTATTACAAAAACCATAGTTTTCTTTTTTTATAATAATTATTATTTTATTAGTTTACATAGCAAGTATAAACGACCATTTTATTTTTAACACTGTAAAAGTGTAACGAGAAAATGAATAAGTATATTATTGACCAGTATTATTCAGAGCTTCGACGCAGAGCTGAAAAGGTAATTTATTTACAATAATGTGTGTTTATATTTGTAAGCGGACCTACGATATCTTTTAAATTGCTTTGAACCAATTTTTTCATGTAGCAAATTTATATAACAGAACTTGTATCTGATAGGTACTTTATAAGGCCTAACATTATAAAAACACAACTCTTCCCAGTTCCCTATCAAAATCGAGAAAAAAACCCAAAAAATTATATTTTTTTTAACTTACGATGATCTATAACTTATTTAGAAATAGTCAAATCACTTCAAAATTTGTGTGGAATATTCCATAACCATAGTACTACCGATAACAAACCATAAAAATGTCATATCATCTATTTCCTCTAGAATGGATATAATTTTTTCTTTACTTCACTTCTTCGAGGAAAGTTTTAGGGATTTAGGTCTGATAAATTGATTGAAGGTAGATCTAGAATGGAAATATAACACTTACAAGACTCGTCCTCTACAACAGATATTCTTGAACGTATTCCTTGTAGAGCCTCTTTTACACGAAACGATCGGTTTGTCAATCTAGTGTTTAACATGAGATTGACAGATAGGTGTGTTGCAAAGAGTTGTTTTAAAAATTTTAACTTAAGTTTTTGATCACGTTACATTCATCATGTATTATTTTTCTTAATTATAGAAATACTACAAAGTTTAACTGTTACTAAACGAAATAATTGCTAATAAACTTGAAATATTTTCTTTAATTTTTAACTTTATTTACAAGTATACAGAACTTACACCAACTTAACCTACAGTACATTTAGAACTACCATTGCTATACATTTGTGATATACGAATACAATTCTTAATATTTTATCGGGTGGCATAACGGTCAACGTAGAGTTTAATAGAGTAAAATTGAAAATTGAAAATTACACATGAAACCAATAGAAAATACTAAAGTACAAAGTACAAAAAATGTTAAAATGTCAGCGAACGAAAATATTGCCAAAATATGAATTTTTTCTTTTTCTTATTGACTTGATATTGTATTTACAGTCTATACGCGTTATATACACTGACAAACAATATTGACGCTATACCCATGACGTGAAAGGCGAAGAAGGGAAGACGTCCACCGATCCATCAAATGCACTAGTAACACGTATAGGTTTCCATCGAATTGCTCTACGGTTGATACTTACTGCTCAAAACAACATCATACCCACCTTACAGTATAGTATACCTGTTTACAGTCGGTTTTACAGAACAGTCTGGCACGAATTGAAATATAACTATAAACTTTAGTCCGACCAATATGATTCAACCGCTTTTGTTCGTGTATTCGTTGTTGTCCGTTTGCATTTTTCTGATGTGCTCGGCAGGTAAACCTGTATCATGGTCACACGCAGACAACGTGTCAACATTAAACAATATCTTGCAGGCGAAGGGGTGGAAGGTACTGGTAGCAGAAGCCCTAGATCAAGAATTAAAATCAATCGACGGCAAAGTAATGGACCTGTCAGATCTATTGAATAAAGAAACGGACGGCAATATAGTCACCCCGGCAAACTACACCGACAAATTACTAAAATCTTCGACCGCGGTAAACTGCTTTTACTGCGAAAAACTAAAGTTCATGAATGATATATTTATTGAAGTGATCGGGGTGCATTGCATGAGCCTGGATTCGGACTCACTTAAGTTGGATTGCATGGAACGGTTTTGGGAAACAATGGACATACATAAGTCATGGATCGAAAAAATGCTAGTAGTCCTGAATTTTTTCCACGATGCTTCCAAAAACATGGGCACAACAACACCCATTAACGCTTTGGAATTCTTACTACCGCACTACGACCGTCAGAAATACACTAAATCAAATTACTTGGACGATAATGATACGGTCAAGATAGATAATTTCAGGAGGGTTTACGGCTATTTCCAAGACCATTTACAATGCGCAAACCAAATACTGCAGGACTTTCTTACGGCTCGTTGCTTACCATCATTCAACGACCAAAACGAAAAATCCAAATACGCCATAGATTTAGAAGAAATGACCTATCATGCGACACATCAGGATATCGATAAGGTATTTCGCTTTTATGTTAAATGTTTATATGTGTACGAGAAAACTTTTTCGACTAATTTAGGGTTCGTTAAGGAACTATTATTAGTTTAAGATTACTGTGTACATTTTTACTGTCATTTATTAAGAGCTACTGTTTTAAAGTCTTCGTTTTTATTTTGTAAGAACGCTTAAAATTACATAGTATAATATAATTATAACAGAAAAAACGTAGTTATTTTGTCTGCTCCATGGAAAAATATTTAATCATGGATACCTTATCTATTACCATTTGCTCCTATCACTGATCTCTTATCTAACTGAAAGTATATGTGTAACGCGAAAATGGTGACATGATTTAAACATGTATTGTATGGTACAAAAACAATATTATTTATTTAGTTTTAACTACCATTTTTTTTTATAACACAATAAAAGTGTAACCTGAAAATGCATAAATATATTATTCAAGAGTAATTATTGACCAGTAATATTCTAAGCTTATATTTTTTTTATAATGTTAATTATCATATATGGGTAACAATAGCAATACATTTTTATAGACAGACGATCAACTCTAGTCATGTCCTTAACCTTAGCACTAAAAAATAACGTTTAAGCCCACAATTGTTATTATGTACAATATTTTTATTGATATTTTAATTTATAAACAATGGTCTTATTTCGATTCTCGTTTACTACTACTTACTACTACTCTTCACCTACGAATAATACTTTCTAATACTTTCTTACCGTACTTGGTTTAGACGGTATTTGTTTAAACCTACTATCCACAAATTCGCGTAGAAGCGTTTATTAAAAAGATATTTTCTCTCTTTCAGCTATAATATTATATTATAATATATTTCATATTTTATTTTTATTGTTGAGTTTTAGAAATAATAAAGTAAAATTACAAGTAACCTTTTTATTTTTTATTGATGTACATTTTGTACATTAGGCAAACATGTTCAAGTTATACACATGACGTAAACGGCGAAGGAACAAAATCATCCACCGAATAAATTTGTAACACGTGCACAATACGGTAGAACACACATATGTCGTTTATATTTGTTTTATGCCAAACATTTATTATTATTCTCGTAGGTGGCCTAACGTTGAACGTATAGTTAAAAAAAGTAAAATTAATATTCACGGATGACACTTGCAGCTCAAAAAAACATTGTACCTACCTAACGGTACAGTAGACAGTATAACAGTATAGTTAAGTTGGTTTTTCTGAAAAGTCTAGCACTACTCGAAATATATATATATATATATACTATAGTTTGACGAATATGATTCAACCGCTTTTGTTCGTGTATTCGTTGTTGTCCGTTTGCCCATTTATGATGTGCTCGGCCGGTAATTCTGGTTCATGGTCAGACGCAGAGAACGCGTTAGAATTAAACAATATATTGATGGCCAAGGGGTGGAAGGTACTGGTAGACCTAGCCCTGGACCGAGAATTAAAATCAATCGACGGCAAAGTAATGGATGTCTCAGATCTATTGACCAAAGGGGCGGACGGCAATATTGTCACCCCGGCAAACTACACCGAGAAATTACTGAAAACTTTGACCACGGTAAACTGCTTTTACAGCGAAAACCTAAAATTCATGAACGATATTTTCATTGAAGTAATCGGGGGGCATTGCATGAGCCTGGGTTCGAGCGCATCAATGTTGGATTGCATGGAAAGGTTTTGGGAAACAGTGGATGTAAACAAGTCACTGGTCGAAAAAATGCTATTAGTTTTGAATTTTTTCCACGATGCTTCCAAAAGCATAGGCACAGCAACGCTCATTAACGCCTTGGAATTCTTACTACCGCACTACGACCGTGAGAAATACATCAAATCAAAATACTTGGACGATACCGGTACAGTCAAGATAGATAATTTTAAAAGGGATTACTACTTTTTCCTAAACCAAATACAATGCGCAAACAAATTACTGATGAACTTTCTCGTGGCCCGTTGTTTGCCGGCTTTCAGCGCTGAAAACGAGAAATCCAAACACGCCATGGATTTAGAAGAAATGGTTGATCATGCATCACATCAGGATATCGATTGGGTATTTTACTTCTATAGCGGAAATTTACGTAGGTTCGAGAAATCTCTCTCGACCAAACTAGGTTTCAATAAGATACAATTAATTGCCTAAGATCGTCATGTGCATTTTTACTGTCATTTATAAATAGCTACTGTTTGAGATTATAAGCTTTTGTTGTTGTATGAAACGATTTGTTAATTTTTATTCTTTTTGAAGCATGTTAGCTTTTCGTTAAATAAATAATTTTTTTTTCTGAATTGATTAAAATGGAAGTTGTCATTTTTTGAGTTCGCAACCATTTGATGCGGTATGACGTTTGTCATCGAGTGGCTCTAAATGGAACTACTGTTGTTTGTGCTTTGAACGACGAAGGACACCTAACCTATAAGGAATTATTATCAATGAAAGGTAAATTTAGAACGGAACTATAACAAAAACGATTTCCTCAAAAATCTGTAGTAAAACTTTGTTTTAATAAGGAAACCCCCCCAAAAAAAGGGAAAACTACAATTTGACAATTAGGCAATTTCTAGGTAGCTATATGTGAGTGAATAAACAGTCAATTGGTAATGAAAATATTTTTTTCATATTGTTAATTGTCCACCCTATTCGTGTCCAACTGAGCACTAAAAAAAAAATGTTTATTATAACAATAATAAAATGCAATTATTACAACATACAATATTTTTATTGATATTTTTTTTTTTTGTAAACATTGCACTTATTTCCTTACACGATTTTTGATCAATTTGGACGTCAACAGATCGACAAACCGAAAGTTTCACGTCTGAGAGATTTACAGTTTGGCAATAGAAAAATGACAAATTGAGAGTTACACATAAAACGAATACATAATACTTCATCGTGACGCTTGGTTTGCAAAACATATTTTAATTAATATTTTAATTTTTTTCATTATACTCGTAGAAATAAAGAAATACAAAAACAGTTGTCAGCAGACGAAAAAATTGCGAAAATATGAACCTTTTTTTATTTCTTATACCTTACTCAGTCTTGCAACACAAGGACTATTCAAGAATTTCAATCTATCAGCCTTCGTGTACAATAACCCCGCTGTACTGTATTTTTTATTATATTTATAATTTGTTTTGCTGTTTAATGGATATGTACAAATGGCATGTGTAAAAACTACAAATAGGCAGGATTCAATATGAAAAAGTTTAATGACCTGAGACATTGTTATAGGTATAATAATAATAGATTTAAAAACAAGGAGAACACCAATGAGAATATAATATATAATAATATTAAAAACGAGAGTTTAACACTACAACAGTTATTCAAAACGATCGGTTTGTCAATCTATTGATATACATAAAAATTAGCAGATAAATAAACAGGTGTGTTGATAATTTTTGTACGGAGTTGTTTTAAATATTTTTATTTTTGATCATGTTTCATTTAATATTTTTTATTTATATTCATTATAGAAATACGACAAAGTGACAAATGTCACCAAACGAAAAAATTGCTAAGCAATTTTTTTTTATTACAAATCTACATTTTATTTTCAATCCATGTACATTGTGTGCACTAATTAAACTTGATGCAGCAATATGCATGACGTAAATGACGGAGGAAGCAAGACATCCACCAAATGAATTTGTGACACGTATACAGAGTTTCCCACCGACTTATTCTACGGTAGAAGTTAGCACTGTCATGTATATTTGCGTTATACGAATACAGTACTACTATTTCCCCAGATGGCTTAACGGTGAACGTATCGTTAAATAAAGTAAAATAAAAAGTCACGGACGACACTTACTGTTCAAAAACAATATTATACTTATCTAACTGTATAGTATACCTGTTTAGTTGATTTCTAAGACACTATAGACCGACCAATATGATTCAACCGCTATTGTTCGCGTATTCGTTGTTTTCCGTTTGCACTTTTCTGATGTGCTCGGCCGAGAATCCTAGATCATGGTCCGACGCAGACAACGTGTCGACATTGAACAATATATTAAAGGCGAAGTGGTGGAAGATGCTGGTAGCAGAAGCCCTAGATCGAGAATTAAAATCAATCGACGGCAAAGTGATGGACGTGTCAGATCTATTGAATAAAGGGGCAGACGGCAATATTGTTACCCCGGCAAACTACACCGACAAATTGCTAAAATCTTCGACCGCGGTAAACTGCTTTTACAGCGAAAACCTAAAATTCATGAACGATTTATCAGTTGAAGTAATCGGGGGGCATTGCATGAGCATGGGTTCGAACGCATCAATGTTGGCTTGCATGGAACGGCTGTGGGAAACAATGGACGTATATAAGTCATGGATCGAAAAAATGCTAGTAGCTCTGAATTTTTTCCACAAAGCTTCCAAAGCCACGGGCACAACAACAGTGATTGACGCCATGGAATTCTTACTACCTCACTACGACCGTCAGCAATACATCAAATCAAATTACTTGGACGGTAATGGTATGGTCAAGATAGATAATTTAAGGATGGGTTACGACTATTTCGTGGAACAAATAAAATGCGCAGATAAAATATTGCAGGACTTTCTAATGGCCCGTTGCTTGCCGGCTTTCAACGCCGAAAACGAAAAATCCGAATACGCCATAGATTTAGAAGAAATGGTATACCGTGCGTCTCACCACGGTATCGATAGAGTATTTCGCTTTTATGTTGAAAATTTACTTGTGTACGAGAAATCTTTCTCGAGAAAACTAGGGTTGGATAAGGAACAATTAATAGTTTAAGATCATTATGTACATTTTTACTGTCGTTTTTAAAGAGCATCTGTTTGAGACTATAAGCTGTTGTTGTTGTATGAAATGATTTCTAAACTTTTGTTTTGTGCGACGCTTTAATAAATAATATGTTTCTAAAATAATTAAAAATTGTTTTTTATTTAATAACAGAAAAAAACCTAGTTATTTTGTCTGCTCTACGGAAAAACATTTAATCGAGGATTTCTTATTTCTTATCATTTTCTTTTATCACTGAGACTAACCGAAAGTAAATGTGTAACGCGAAAACAGTGACACGGCTAACGCAACATGAAATTTCTTGTATGGTT